TTGGGAGGATCACAAAAAGAGAATGATGAAAAGAATACATAAAAAAAAGAGTTAAGGGGCTTTAAATGAAAAAAGTACAAAGAATTAAGAGGGGAGTACAAAATGATTTGAATGAAGAGAGTACTCAATAATCAAAAAAAGTAAGGAGAGGTAAACAAGGAAAAGAGGAATACGAAGGACTTTAAGAAAGAGCAAGTAAAGATGGGTTTATATAGGTTGAAAATACAGATCTGACACTATCTTTTGGAATTTTTCCGGGTAATATGAAAAATAAGAAAATACAGATAAATCCTCAAAGAGAAACAAAGAGAGAAAGAGAGGCCCAAGCACAAGCACACTTGAGAGAGACAGAGATAGGACCTTGCTTTTTTTCTTTTTCTTTTGTTTAAAAAATGAATAGGGACTACCTAAAACAACAGGCAACAGGGAGGTAGAAAGCAAATAGACAAGAAGCTTGACAAAAGGGGATAAGTATTATGCTCAACCGCCAACATTTCGCCGAGATATTCTTTTAAGTGTTGCGACTTACTGGCCCTCTCGATCAAATCAGCCACTGGAACAGTTAACAACGCCTCACGGTGTCCTCAACCAATATTACACTCACAGTAAAAGAGAACTTCAATATCGTGAGTTTCGTCCGGGAATGGGGTTACACAAGTCCACCAAATGACTATTAGAACACGACGACTCTACCAGGCTTGGTTACCCAATTAGTTTGCAAACTGCAAACTCAACTGCACTTTTGATTTATTTCACACAAAGGAATTACAATATTAATAGTGCATCACAGCCCAACTTACCACACAGTAGTTAACAAAACTATGGACTCATAGACGAAAAGAAAAACCATACAGTACCCTTGTACATCAAGTACATCTACATGTCACCTAAAGCAAACCTATACAGTACCCAGGTACATCAGGTACTTCCACATGTCACTTGTTTTTACATCCACTTAAAAGCAAAAATAAAAGCAACAAGTACAAAGCTATAATTATATACATTTGTCACGCACTCTTCCACACACTAAAAAGGTAAATAGTAAAACCACTAATAAAAGGCAAATCTACTCTTTATAAAACAAAACTACTTTAGGAAAACCATGTATGGGTTCTTTGTGAGATATTTTTAGATGATTCTGGGGATTGCTCTGGTGACTCATTTTCAATAATGTTGCTGACCTTTTTTGCAATCTCTCCCATTTCTCAACCAAATCATCTACAATTTGATTCAAATTGTTCGTAGAGGCGCTCTCTAACATACCCCTATTTTATTAGATTGAAAAGCAAAATAGAAAATTTGAGATTCCAAATATCATGAGTTTTTTTAAACCAAAATCAAAAATCTTGAATTTATCTCTCGCTGTATCACCACCTTCGTTCAAATTTTTCCCAAGATAGTCCCATCACATTGATCTACAAAAGCCGTTACAAAACAAAACACTCTAAAATCCAATTTTCATTTTCTACTGCTATTTTCTTCCCAAAGTGTTTCTTGACTTTTATTTTTTATTTTTGATTTAGTTATATGGCTCCTATTAGATGAAATCAGATATTGGATTTTGATTTTGTGTTTTTTATTTTTTGCCTCTCTATTTTCTTTTTCCCTTTTTTTTTTCTTCTACTTTTAAAAAATTGGCCGCGTCCACCAAGTTGAATCAAGGATAAGGATTAGGCTGGCGCGGCTCGAGACTGGGTGTAATAGGTTTGACCCACTGATCCAAGTTTTTAAAACCTAGATCAGACCCTGAATTCATGAAACAATGAGCATGTTCTCATTGAACTCTAGATATCCAAGGCCACTATCTCACATTGCTTCTAATTTTGGGAAACCCCATATTTTTTGGGCATTTTCTGATCACATCCTTGATTTCATGGAACCATGAGCAGTTCTCTCTCTCTCTCTCTCTCTCTCTCTCTCTAATAACCAAGAGCGTTGCTTGCATGCACATGCCTTAACATTTTTCTTGGTCAACAACATTTTACATATGCCTTATGCATACGCCTTAGATTTGTAGGGCACATGTTCAGTTTAAGCTTTGACTTGTGAGAGAAGACTATAATTACCTCCTCAATTGTGGTTTACCCATGGGTTTCTAGGCCACCGACCCACCTTAAACATTGCAAGAAAATGAAAGAGGTCGCACAAAAGATTATGGCTAGGCTATGGTTTGGGAATGCTCTTTCATTAAAAAAAGTCATAATTCATTTCATGAACATGACAAAGTTATTTTTCTGAATATGACAAAGTTTAAGGTTGTTCCTGGTTGTGGCAGTAGTGTCAGGCCTATTTCCTAGAACATGATGTAACTAATTGACAACACGAAAGGGTCTTTTTTTGGGGAGGGGGTTAGGGAGATTGAAATCATGAATTTCAAAAAGGATTTGAGATTATATATAACCCAACATATGATGCCAAATGAATGGTCGACAGGATGGGATCATGGAAAAGAATTTGTTCAATTATCTTTTTCATTTTTTTTTTGGATGTTGAAGAATTTGTTTAATTATCTAAAAACTACACTTCATATCGCAAGTTTCAATCAGATAATAGCCCATTGCAGGGGATGATACTTCTATTTACTTAATCAATGTTGTACCAAAAAAAAAGGAAAAAGAGAATGTCATATAAATAAAAGAGTTGACAGTGCAACAAACCATATAGGGCAATTGATAAAGTACACTCATGGTAAAAAAATAACTATATAGTGAAAAACATGAGATGCATCAAAGATTTTAAAGCTGTGAACTAGTACCCAAGCTGGTCCGGTCCACCCACTTGGACCAGCCTGTCAACCCCTGGAACGACGGTTGGACATGTGAACCGGTGGACTGTATGGTCCTAATGGAGGCTCCAACAAGCCCTTTTTATTAAAAAAAAAAAAGTCCACAATTTTGGGCTCTTTTGTCCTTTTCAATGTTTTAAAAAGCAGACCGCCCAACGCCTAGGAAGTCCAGAAGGTCGGGGCACCGCTCCCAGGCCTAAGCAAGTTCCCTGGACACCCAAGGAACCCGCTTAGGAGGGGCACCCAGCGCCCAGCCTTAGGCGGCCGCCCAGGGCTTGCACCCCTCCCAGGGGCAGAAATGCCCATTTTTTGGTTTCTTTTTATACTAAAAGGGAAAAATCGTAGGTTTTAGGTTCATTTGAAACCTAAACCCCATTTAGAGCCTATTTTAGAGAGAGAAAAACCCCCAAAAAACTAGCTTTTGGTGATTTCTATAGAATCTAAGGGTTTCTCAAAGTTACGAGAATTTGATCCAAGCATCACTTATTAATATTAGATTTAGTGGACTAACAGACCATGAACGTATGGAGTATGGAGGATAGTGTGCTATGTGGACTTGTGTACTATACATTTGATGTGCCCTAAGTCCCTAACTCTTATGTGTTATACTTATACTATTAGACTGTAGAAACATTTTTCTTTCTACTTAGCCGCCAAGGTTCTAGGCATTCGTTTAGGCGCTGGGTGGCCTGGACCCCCCCTGCCGCCTATGCGCTACCTAGCTTTTTTGAAACACTGGTCCTTTTAAAAATGCAAGGGGACATTTTTGTCATTTAAATGTTTTGGGTGGGTTTGGGGATTAAAAAAGATGGTTTCTAGAGGGAAAGAGAGATAGAAACTAGTGATTTTTGCTCTCTCTCTAAATCAAACCCCAAGAATGTTTGTTATCCCATTTTCTATTATTGTTGTTTTATATTAGGAAAAATAGAAAGAAATCAGTTTCAATAGGGTATAGGTAAAGAAATAATCTTTTTAAACTCTTCTTTCCATAAGAGTGCATTCGATTATATCTTCTAATCATGTCAATGGTTACTTTTTAATGATTTAGTATATTCTTGTTGACATTTTTTTTTATTTTTGGAAGTATTATATTCTTGTTGATATTGGCCTAAGTGTTTGTTTATATGCATCATACTACATTTTCCTTTTTTTTTTTTTTTAATTATGTGACTGGTCTATACCTACATCTTTTTTTTTTTTTTGAAAGGTTAAAAACTATACCTACATTAGCATTCAAGAATATCCTTTAGGCTTATTTGCAAATAATGAATGCAATTTCACGCCATAGATGACAAATTTCCCATCAAAAAATTCCCTTTGAGCAATGCGACAAGTCAAATATTGTGCAAAGATGACACATAAAATTCTCCAAAACTAACAAATTTTGGAGAATCCAATAACAAATTGTTCGTTATAAATCTATAAGACTCTAATTTCAGGCCTCAAAAGATTTTCACCACTACCTTCTTTTTACGTTTCTTTTAACAAATTGATCAGCAAGACAACTGTAGAGATGGCACTCCATAACTCAAGCACTTCAGTACTTAGATCATTAATCTCATGAAGCATTCCTCAAGGTGAGACAAGCAATAAAGTTCCATAGAACAAACAAATACGATAATTTCTAAGTTTTTAATGTTAATTTTCTCTACATATATATTCATGGTTGATATAGAGAGTACCAGTAAAGATATCCATTGACAATATAAAGAATGCCAGTATTGGTGCATTGGAACGGGGGTGAAGACAAGTCAGGTTGAGTCTCAACCTGTTAATCGCTAATGTGATGGTTGAGGCATCCCATAGCACCGTTTTTTTTTTTTCTCTCCACTCCATAGCAAGGCACTACCAAACATTATCCCATTGACCACTATGGTAAGTTTAAGAGCTAGCATACTTGACTTCAATGTACTCAATAGCCCTTTCCAAATGTAACCTTAAAAAGTGGTCTCGTATCAAGTAACGCCTAATGACCTATGCACCAATACTGATGTAAAGTATCTCGATAACTATGATTGTTAAAAAAATTAGATAGTAGAATTGGTTAGGCAAGCCACTAAACCCCGAATACTACAATCGATAACCATGGTAAAAAGTGAAAATCAGAACTGCAGCTAAATGAACATGCAGATTAACCTCAAACACATGGACACATATAAAAACCAAGGACGTTGATGACCTAGAACAAGTTGAAGTACAAGAAGGTTTATTTTACCTTCTCCTTCTCTTTCTTCGAAATTGCAGCAGTTTGTCGAAAAAATTCTTGCTCTTGGGCAAACTGGGAAAAAGAAATCACAATGACATAACAACTCCCTTTTAGATCCCAATAAACCTCATACTTGATTAACAAAATAGAACATACACATGACAACTACCAACAACTATGGAAGGGATCCCTATCAATGAACAAAAAACGGCCGCCTTGCCGCTTAGGCAGCCTTTTTTCCAAAACGCCTAGCCTTGGACTAGGCGCCCTGCTTAAGGCGGATCCTTCAAGGCGCCCGCCTAGGCGGCACAAAAGGCGGGCGCCTAGGCACCACCTCACCCAATGACAGAAAAAAAAAAAAAAACTCGAGCAATATCTAAAATCATCATTTTAACCCCTAAAAAGGGGGGAAAGAGTTTGGAGGGCCATTCTTGCTCCCAAAAACATTGTTAGTGAAGTTTAGAGTGAGAAAAAACTTGAAAAAAACAAGATTTTGAAGATTTGTGGAGAGATCAAAATTTTTTTTGACCTCCTCAAATGGTCACAAAATTAAAGGATATTCATCCCCAATCTTTTTGAGGCTTTTAGTGGTTGTAAAAGAGGAGATTTGGGAACCAAAACATTTGAGTTTGCTCCCAAAAACATTTTTATTAAATAATTGCATATTTAATTTTTTTTTTCAATTTTGTGTTAAATCATTGCAATTTTGATGCGTATGTTTTACCTAGATTTATGTTTGGCTTAATAAGAACTCAATATATTAAAGGGTCAATGTACAAATAATGTAAAAATTATTTTTACTTCATTTCCTATTTGAAGTTTTTTAGATGACCATCTTTTAATTCTTTTTTGGATGGCTCATCTTGCTTTTGTGTGTATTTACAATTTTCACTTTTTGTAAATGTTTTCAAGTTCGACTTTTGAGTTTTAACTGTTTAATTTACAGTCTAAAATCATAAATGTTTATGTTTGATATGTACTCCTGACTTCTGAGTTTTGAACAATATATTATATACAAAACCTACTTATTAAATAAAAAAAGTCATTTCTATATACAATGAAATTGGGGGGAGGTGTGGGAAGGCCAAAAATCTGCAAGAATCTGCACTTCCCCAAAAGGCAGGCCCTAGGCAGCCCAGATCCCAAACCGCCTAGGCGCCCGCCTCCATGTTTTTGAAAATTGATATATATCATTCTCAAGAAAAAACAATTAAAGGGATCCATCCAAAGAAAGGATTATTGAGAACCACAATAATCGGTGTTACCCCATAACTTTACTTTTTCCATCTTAAGACATCCGCATATATCAAGCCACCGATAAGGCTAGGAGAATTCTTGATTCAATTCAAGGGAGAACACGCAGAAAGAGAATACACATGTGTAATAGGGAATTTAACTGGAAAAGGAAACTCTCCCTATATCAAATACTTCATATCCAAATTAAATCCACATTACTAATGGAAATAAATAGGAGTATGAATTTTGAATTCCTTCCTCCAACTCCTTTTCCCTCTTATTTCCTAAAAACTCTCTTTAAGAAAATGCATAAGTTTGGAATTAGTAGATCATCCCTCTCCTCTCAGCCATTCTCCATTGCTACTTCTAAGGAAATTCAATAACATCATATCTATATCTAACTCCAACCATTTCTTAGATTCTCTCTCTCTCTCAAATGGGAAGTAGGAGTTGCCCTAAAAAAAGGAATGAAAAGTAGAAGCCACATCTCATGTATTTCCTAAAATTTCAAATCTCTTATTTTAAATTGGTATAAATTATTTCTAAAACAAACAATTTTTCATAATTAAAATCTTAGAAAATCATTATAACAAATGTTGCATATAGGAATTATTTTATGAATTGTTGAAAAATCAAATTGTTTAATTTCGACATAAATTAGTTTAAAATAAATGAAAACAAATGCAACTAAAAAGGTGAAAAATGGGATAATGTACGATTTCTTTTCTAAAAGTTCAATTTTATTATTTTTAAATTGGCATTAATTACTTTTAAACGAAAGAAAATTCATAATTTTAATCTTTCAAAAAACTGATCATGTATTAGATGATAAATAATAAAGTTGTCTTTTCATGGCACCAAAAAACTTATCATGTATTAGATGATAAATGAAGCAGGAGAGACTGAAAGAGATAAAGATACATGATGATATATAGAATGAAAGAGAAAACGGAAATAGAAAAGAAAACAAAAGAAATAAGATAGGATGTACACATGACAATCATCACCAAAATTAGAATGGAGGGAAGCCCTCCAAATAGATGATTGTTTAGAAATGCAGTTGTCGCTGTCATTCAAAACTTTCCTTCTCTACCCAGAAAGAAGCAGGACAGAGAGAGAACAACAAATATATGCAACGAGAGAAAAAAAGGTCGAGGGCGAGAGAGATAGGGTTTGGAATTTACCTCACGGGCGACTTCTTGAGCTCTGCGATGGTGCTGAGCGTCAGTTTGTTCAGCAATCCATTTTCGCCTCTGGTTAGGGTAAGAGAGGGGGTGCCAGGGCTTCTGATTCAGATAAGAATGACTCCATGCCGTTCCAGCTTTTATCTTGTAATCAACCTCGCCATTCTCAGAGAACCTCTTGCTCAACCTCATTCCTGGTTCGTCGTCCTCCATTTTTTCCAACTGCCTCTGCTCCTCTTCCTGACTGCGATCTAATTTCTCAGCGTCGCCATGGTAGAAACCCTCATTTGAAGGAAAGGTCGGGAACAAACAAATAAACGTGGGGAGAGGTGCGGAAAACAAAGCAGCAATGCACTTATATATGGGCAATATAGCGTGATCATATAGATCAGGACGGTGGAAAATGGATAATGGCGTGGCTCCAAAACGGCCGTAATTAAAAATAACGGCCGTTATATTTGATCCTGCTCTTCGGGGTTGGTGTTAGTATTGGTGCAGTATAAACATTATGGCCTACCATCGAAGTCAGTTTTGATGCATAAGAAATGGCAACAAACTTAACGTTAACATTATCAAATGGGTGGTTTCTATAAGGTTGCAACCTTAAACAATCTAACTAAGGTGGACTTTTAAATTTTATCATAGTATATATTTTTGAAATAAAATAGTCTTAAGATTATCGTAAAATCTTTTTTTATATCTAATTATAAAATTTTAAATTTTAAAAATGGTTAAAATCAAGTAGATCTATAAACATATGGAAATTTTGAAAATAGACGGTGTAGATAATATGTTGTAAGATGCACTATTTTTGAGATCCAAAATCTTTTTATTTTTCATAGTCATACATCTCTATGTCAAGATGATCATCAATCACAGGGTTTTCAACATTAAAACAATCTTTTTCGATGAATTTTTGAGGTGCATCTATAATTCTACATTTCAAGGTTGCAATGTTATATAAACTTTTCCCATATCAAAAAAAAAAATGGCAACAAAACTGAAATTAGTGTGTATTCCAAAACAATTAGTACCCTAAACCAAGGATATTATATACACCCCAGCTACATGGGAAGTCCAAGGAACCCCAGAGGTTATAAAAAGAGGCCAAGAATTCTAACCCCTAGTTTTGTCTTTTTCTTTTTCGAGAATCCCCTTCCTTTTTTAACCAACTCCTATGCTCTAAATCACTTTTCCTTCTCCTTTTAATCTTGTTTAACTCTTACTCCTATAAAAGGTGAGAGGAAGATTATCAATTATTTACTATGCACAATGGAAGGGCAACAGAGTAGAGAGAAAAAGGAAGAGGCTTATGGGGTGAAAAGAGAGGGAGAAGAGAAGGAAGAGAGGGGGAAGCATAATGAGGTAGGAAAAAAAAAATTATGGGGATAAAAAAGAAAGTGAGAGGTTTATAGGGTAGAGAGAGAAAGAGGGAGACGATAATGGGGTAGAGGGAGAAAGAGGGTAAGGTTCATTGTGGTGAGAGTTAATAGAATAAAAAAGAGAGTGAAAGTATTGTGGGTTATATTTTTGGGGAAAAAAAGACAAAATATATTAGGAGATTTTTCGAGCTTTTTATAAACTTCCGGGGGTTTTATGGGATTTTCATTGACCTGGAGGTATATACATGATTATTAATTTAAAAGGGGGGTATATGTCTTTTTTTATTATTTTTTCATGTTAAATACAAAATAATTTTACTATTGGGAATCAATCTTCCAAACTCTAAAATGCAACCAACCACTTTAACAGGCACATCAACAATGAAAAGTGATATATTCTATTTTACATATAACTTATTTGTTTTGCTCTCCTTTTTTTTTTGTTAGATTGCCCATATGAAATTGTTGATTTGGACGATTCAGATCCGGATTAGTGGGTAGATGATCCACCCCACATGCATTTTTAAAACACTATCTTAAACAACAACTAGTTCATATGAACCCAATGGATTAAATGGAATATGGGCCGATTTGATGGTCACGACCTCATTTTGTATTTGAATTTTTATTTTTATTTTCTACGAATCTCAAGTTATTTGGATTTGTAAAAGAAAATTACAATTCAAATATAAAATGAGGTCGTGACCGTCAGATCGGCTCAGATTCAATCTGAATCTAAGCCGTTGGGCTCCTGTGTTTATATGAGCTAGAACATTTTCATATATATATACACACACACACATATGAGAAATAATGATCAGTATTTGAAAAAGTATTTTCTTTATTAATAAAAATATGTTTATATATTTGCCATTCTTAAGCTATTATTTCAATTTTATATATTCAGTGAGAATGTTTACCCCTAGTACAAAAGCTATGGTCAGAATTAACCTAGCTATCAAATGTGAAATTGTGCAGCTAAAGGTGTACCATTCATTGTGTTCATGGAAAAAAAAAAAATTACAAAGGTTAGAAAAATTTATTGCTAAGGAATTACAACAAATTTACAAAGGTTAAAAATTCTGAGTTGCTTTGATTTCATATACAGTGGACCCATGTCTCACAAGCTCTCTATGAATTTTAGGATCTTGATCTCAGTAGAACACTGCCTAGTTTAAAGGTTGAAAGGCTTGTGAATGTAGAGATACTGCTCTTTCAAGTTATGGAGTGGTTAAATTATGTAAACCACCTGGGCTTACATAATTCATTTTGGAAAAGAACCAGCAATCAGGTATTGGCGGAATCGGAAAATAGGTGCATGGTGGATTGTGTTTGGAGCTAGAAAATCACCTTTAAAAGGGATAGTTGTTTTTGTGGATTGTGCCACATCCTTTGAGCGGATTTCTGGAATGTACATCAGAGATAGGAACAATCATATTGTATATTACAAACGGAATGCACTAGCCTTCAGCAGCGAAAGCAATGTTGTAAAACTCCTCTATCAAAAGGTTCGAGGAAAATGCTACTGTAATGAGCACCCTCAAATTCCAGGTACACAAAAGAATAAGAAATTGTGCCTTAGGCTGTTACAACTTTGTCCTCCAGCTCAATGATCAAATATGAGATGCACGCTGAACTTGGCAATATTCGCTGGCATGTCACCTTGGCTAGTGCTCAATATCTGCCTAAAATTATCATCGCCATCACCGTCACTATGTTGGCTTCTTCGTTGACCTGGCACCTCCAAATTACTCGATGAATGCTCCTCTTTTACCACCTACAATCACCTAATGATGTGCTATGGTCATCTTAGGAACTACTGTTGGGGCATCAATAGTAGCAGCCGATAAGGGTCGTCATTGCCGACATGCTCCACTATTGTCCATTTCGGTGGAGCCATCTACATGATCTTTGTAAGCATGCTATCTATGATTACTCAAAGAAGAACTAAAGTAGAGTACAATAGTGTAAATTGACCAAAATATCTTTGAAATGTTTTGGGAGAATTTTGGTCAATTTAGTTTTTGTAAATTATTTTTTAAATATTTTTATTAGGTGCGTCTTGATGAGAAGAATTGACGCTTAAAATTTCAAGCCATTTGGATTTGTAAAAAAAATTAAAATTCAAATACAAAATGAGGTCGTGACCGTCAGATCGGGGATCATATGTTCATATGAGCTGTGAGCTAAATCCAGCATTTTTCTACACACACATACACACACACACATATATATATGAGAAATAATAGTGAGTATTTGAAATATATTTTCTTTATTAATAAAAATATGTTTATATATTTGCCATTTGTAAGCTATTTTTTCAATTTTATTTTAAAAAAGTATTCAATGAGAATGTTTACCCCTAGTACAAAAGATATGGTCAGAATTAACCCTAGCTATCAAATGTGAAATTGTGCAGCTAAAGGTGTACCATTTAGTGTGCTCATGAAACTTTTTTTTTTTTTTACAAAGGTTAAAAAAAATTATTGCCAAGGAATTACAATAAATTTACATCATTCGAAATTAAGATCAAAGCAAGAGGTACACCTCTCGTTGCTAAGGTATCTGCAACACTAGTAGCCTCTATGTAAATATGGTCGAAAGAAATCTCAACCAAATCCATCACTTGGCACCAGATAGAGCATAGCTCCCACAGAACTCGTTGCTTTCTATTACACCACTTGATAACATTCAACGAATATCTTTCCACAAGACAAATAGTCCCCAAATTCTTAGTTCTAAAAACTTAAGAGGGCAGCCAATTCAGCATGGTTTGTTGTTGTTAAACCAATCGGACCTGCATAAGCAAACATTACTGACCCACTCCAATTGTGCACAACTCCTCCAATACCCGCATCACCTGGGTTACCGCGAGAACTTCCATCAAAATTTAATTTGAAGCATCCTTATTGTGGTGGTAGCCAATGCCGCATTGGCCTACTTTTAGCAATTCGAGAGAATGCTAAGTTAGTAAGATTTAATCTCACATCCACCTCGGAAATGCATATGCCTTCCTTCGTAACCGAAAGCCAATACCATAAAGTATTCATGATATTATTAAGAACTTTGTCAAAACGAAGAGCCTCACCTTCAAAAGTTCTTTTATTGTGTTCCTTCCATATCTCCCAACAAACTACTCCCCTTATAATTTGCTAGATAATACACTCCAACTTTGGCAAAAAAGGACAGACCAATTGAGTCATAATACCCAACATATCTTGTAGCAAAACCACCCTCACACCTACAGTGCACAAAGAGATGTGATCCAGTTTCTCCATCATCTTTGTACATTTTACAAATATTTGGGAGAATTTTACCCATTTTGATGAGATTATCTATGGTCAAAATCTTATTTTGCCCTGATAACCAGATAAAGCATTGAATCTTATAAAGGATTGGCCATTTCCATACATGAGCAATCTAAAGAAGAGTCCACCCCCAATTATATAAGATCATAAATAGAGTTACCTTTACATGCCTTTCTCTCGTAATGAAGGTATGAAGTCTACAACCTCATCACGCACTTCTCACTCAGTTATGGCTGTTGTTATATCATAGATCAGTTGCTAGAATTCATGAAAACAATATGCATATTTCACTCAAGTTTCATCTTCAAGTGCTTAAGTGTTAGTGATAAAAGAGCATCTCCTTTTGTACATTTGTTGATATATTTTTAAAGTTATCTTGTGCAAACTGTTGAGACTTCATGTTGGTTTAGACCTTTGAATCAAACCCTAAGGCCAAAACTATTCCATTTTGAGCCTGTTTTGGCTCTAAAATTTCCCATTGTCTCACATGGTCCTATGCCCATTATTACATTTTTTAGGGGATTTATATGATAATGAGAATAATGTCATGTGGTGATAATATATTTTTTTCCCAAGATTAGATCGAAACCTGGATATTAGCACGATGGTTGTTTTTTAAATCGGCTTCCCATTGGATACTTTAAGCTTATGCACATTTTT